GAAGGGTCTGTTTCCAGACCAGGTAACACCTGACTCCAGCTTTCTATCTCATATGGTTGTTTTTGAAGCATGTAAACTTCATACCTACACATCACTTTTCTTCCCAGACTTGTAACATTCACAACTATTCACTCCTTCATCTCCCAGATCAATATTTATGACTTCCCGGTCCTCTGGGCATCCCAGAGAGCAAAGTAAGTGGTGAGAAGACACCTGGATCATGTGGGGTTGTTGCCTTTTTTTTAATGGAAATCAATCAGCAAATAAATGTGGAGCTAAAATTATCAGGTCACTGTAAGGTTCAGATCTCTGCCACCTGGGGGGTAGGATTTGTGTTTTAAACTCACTAGACCAAGTAGATTATGAAAATGATTAATCAGCTATTAATAATCCAAAGTTAAGTTTTATTCTTTCCTTTTCTCTCTCTCACACATCAAACAAGTAAAAAGTCTGCCCTGCCTAAGTAATCTCTCCCCCCTTAAAATCATCCTATTGATTTATGGGTATCAAGAGGAACCAAAATTGGGCACTGCTCCAAAGGAGAGCAGGTTCAATGCCACATCCCACCCTATAGTTTTTGAGCCTATCAGAAACTCTCCAGAGAAGTGGTAAAGTCAGTCTAGGGACAATACCACTGTGCAATATTCGATCATGGTTTGAAACTGTTTCTTTCCCTAACAGGCAAGAGGAGCAATGAGTTAAAAGTGGAGTCACTTGCTTAGTACCAAAGGCAAAAGAAGAAAAAGGAAAAGGGAAAAAAAAAATTCAATTTCCTTTCCCCAGCTAAACAAAAACTCTAGGTTTTATACTCCCACGACCTAGATATAGTCAAAGAGATCATACAGAATGTTCCTAGGGAGAAAGAGACCTCAACTCTCAGCTGTTCAGCCAACTTTTCAGCTTAGAAAACGTCTTTACAAGGGAATACTGAAGCAGACACAAACAGGTTTATGGGATAAAAACAGTGAAAGGCCTTTGACAGAGCTAAAGTCAGTGCTGGGCGCTGTGACCACACTGTAACGACTTCCCATTACTTGTTTATAATAGCATATAACTCGGGCTCTTCTCTTAACTCCAGTGCTCTAAATTCCCATAAGGAAATATCACTTTTCAGAGAAGGAAAAGAAAAATTCAACACATTTTCCTAGATGGTCAATGAGAAGTGATGGAGAGGGATTGAAGAAAGTAGGGTCAGAAGGGTCACGGGCCTTTTCAATTGTTTGACCCAATGTAATAAAAACCTCCATAATGCATACATGGAAGGTATGAAACTGAGACTTCAAAATGGTTGTGTTGAGCTGAATTCTGAAAATGACTTCACTGGGAAGACAGCATGTTTTCAGCTAGAGTTTGCAAGCTGTATTAAATGATGAAGGATGTGAATTCGAGTGCCTCGTTCATTAATGAGTCCAGTGTGGCCTATTCAAACTGACTCTGTGGTTCTTAAATGCATGGAAAGCACAATTTCCACATCTAGAACCCCCAACAGAGGGGCTGAGAAGTAAATATCAGAGTAATAAAAACTGATTCCTTATAAATGCCAGAACTTTTTTTAGTACAATTAATTGCAATGGAAAGCTCACTCAGGTGAGAGGGCCAGCATCAATGTATTACTGACATTACATTACAGCGCTTAGCCAGGCCGACAATAAATCGCATGTAGAAGCTCTGGCAGCAGAGGCTGCAAATCCTATTCGTACTGAGAGGAAAAATATAACATTTGTCTTCAAACATTACCCCCAAATCAGAGACTATCATCCAAGAAATTCAGGATAAAGGGTCATCATGGGTCTTCATTAAAATATAGACAATATAAAAACCCATGCCCTTTCACAAAAGTGTGAATAAACTTAACACTACTGAATGGTATAAGAAATAATTAAGATGATAAATTTTATGTTATATGTTTTGACCACAATTATAAAAAAAATACATGACCTATTTTAACCATGCCTTTTGCCACTTATGTGAGACAGAACTTGTCCTTGGCAATGCATTTTGGCACTTGATAAAACTGAGACTTAAATGGCCAGTTACATAATTCCAACAATAGGCTTTACTCTTGAATTCCACTTATATGTGACAATGGTATTTTTAAACCGAATTTAGTACAGTTTTGGTATAACCATCTCCAAGTAACAAAAGCGGGAAGTTCTCAGGTGTGATGATGGATAGATGTGATAGACATCTATAGACAGAGAGATCTAGATCCAGACATAGATTATGTTAGTGGGAAAGAGTATGAAACAGATACTGTGATGGAGAGATATTTTTAATAAAATAGGTTCAAACAATGACTCCGAAAACAGAATGTCGGCTTGGCTCAAAATATGCATCTAGAAACAGAAATAAAATCTTATCTCTTATTTAATCAATACATATATTTTAAAAAACAGTCTATCATAACCTCTCTCTGAATTCTAAAAGGCAATGTGGTTATATTTTCCCCTAATATATAGTTATTAAAAGATATACTATTTTTAAATGATACAATCAACTGTTGCTTCAGCAAGTGTTAATCAGTTTATTTACTTACATTATTTATTCTTTTTTTTTTTTTTAAGAAACATGTAAGTTCAGCCAAACACCATTAAATCCACTTCAAAACAGGTTATTTTAGGAATACTCTTGGGTCTAATAGAAAAGTTAAAGTGGCCAAGAATTCAAAAGGCATTCAAGCAAATATCAATATGTAAGAAAAAGAACAGACAGTGTCCTATATGGCTGTGAAACAAGCTCATCCACTGATGTCACTTTGATATCAAAATAGCAGAATCCTAAATAATGACACTGAGTGCTTTCTAAACAAGGATTTGGATACATTTTACAGATAAGCACACCTGGGACTCAAACTGCCTGCGCTCGATCACAGCTGAGGGACAGAGCAGAGAAACACTTTTTCCCATTGATGAGTCTAATTCCTCATCCTAAACACTTATCCCTACATACCTCTCAGTGATCTTAATTTCAATATATTTTCAAACCAAAAAGGTAAAGAAATAAGAGTAGAAATTAGGCATGTCATTTTTTAATGAATCACTGTGACAAGTGCTTTGGAAATATAAGAAAAAAAATTCAATTTTTAAAAGCCGGAAAATAGGAACCTACCATCCGATATAAAAAGAACAACAGCAATTGTGAGAACTAATATAAGAAAGCTCTGCTCAAATCCACTGATCTCATATACATCAGGCAGCTAAGGTACTAAGATTTAAAATAATATTTTCTAATGTAAAAAAAGAGTGTTATTGCCCTTTTCTCTGATTATGACTTTTAAATAGTAAAGTGAAAAAATGTTAAAATGAAAATAATTAGCCCTAACTCATGTCCTCCCTCTTTCTATTACCTATCACCTAAGACAGAATTTTAAAACAACAAAACAACCTCTAACTGTACAAAGGCACTCCCTGTGGTCTCAAAATAGTCTGAAGAGCCCTGAATTCCAAATGGCTTTCTCCATCTGGCTACTCAAAGCCCATCTCATGTAAAAGACACACATCCTGCAAAAGGCCACCGACACTCTGACCAGCATGGGGAGCCTGGCCCAGTCCAGTCCCAGGCCAGGACGGTCGGGGACCTGCCCACCCTCCTGCTCAGGCCCTGACTGCTGCCATCCTGACCAAAGAGGCTGAGAACCGAGCATCCTGGATCCGGCCTGACAGTTGGCTGCTCCCGGCACATCTCAGCACTGCTAGGCCAGCACGTTTCCCCTCCATTCTGTTGTCACTTCCTCTGCCCGAGCCTTATAACATGAACATCACCAGCAGAACAAACAGAGACTAGGAAAGTCTCTTACTTACTTGGGGGGGAGGGGGACCAACAACGAAAAACAAAAAAACAGGTTATCTCGGTCATACGCTGGCAGAAACTGGGTGTGCGTTTTCTGTGGGGGGAAATATGCATGCGCACTCGCCAACCGGAAGGCCACAGCCCAAGCCGTACTTTCAGGGCTGCCTATCTTAGTATCAAGCACATCAGGAAAACCACCAGAAACTTTGCCTTACAACCTTCGACATGAATGAATAAAATCTCACTTTGATGAAATAATTGGCAAGGGGGGTAGAGGGGAGGGCACTTCTAGTAGAGGTGACAGGAGAATGCTGGACAAAGGACTGGTGAATTCCTACTTAGTATTTGTCACAAGGCATCAAAAGAAAAGGACAGAAATGCACAATCAGATTAGAACAAGCTCAAACATTTCCAGGCACCTAGGGGTCCCATGCTAAAGGCAGCATTCATCTGAGTAAACACACTGCTTCATCATCCAAACTAGTCCTGGGAAATTATTCAGTGAGCAGTTAAGATTTATAATCCAAATGGCCTCAAAATTATATCTCTGAGAAGTCCATTCCAAATTAAATCAGACTAGGCTTTTAGACTTCCAACGATCACATTTTCTCTTTTGAGCAAGTGCTTTTCAACACTCAGAACTTCTCCTCTTACAGATCATTGTCAAAGCCATCTCTGGATGCATCTCCTCAGTAAAATTTGATGTATAAAAGAAAAAGGGAAATTGGTCAACTCTAAACCTCAGAGGAAGATGTTAGAAGGGAGACTCTAACCTCCTTCAACAAATGTCAAAGAGTTAATTACGTTAACCTCCTTTCTAGTAAATATTACTGGAACTTCTCCTAACACAACATACACATAGCATCTTATGAAACAAAAATGTCCAAAACTAAGTTATTGCACGTGGAAAGCCTTAAACACACTCAGGCGGGCTTTGAAATATAAAGTGCATATATCCCACAAAGAATATACACATTTATATTAATAACATATACTATTTAAAACTTATGTTAAACTGTCACACTTCTCCCGGTGTTATCAGTCTCAAGCTAATGAAACATAGGTAACTGACGGATGGCCCAGCCCTGCGTGTCTCATCTCTGACTTCTCCCCAGACTTGAGACAACATTAATGCCCGGGAGGGAACTGCCAGGCCAGCCCGGTCTTAGGTGCCAGGAGAGAAGAAAGAAGGAAGAGCACCAGGAACTCACATTTCGGTGATGTTCTCAGGGTCTGCAGTGTTAGGCTCCAACCTTGGAAATGCCATGATGCCAGGAATAGGATCGCTGCACCAGATCCTAGAGGCGCTGCATCTGCAGGACGTGGGACAGGCGAGAGCAGCCCTCCAGAAGCCCACAACCAGCCAGCAGAAGACCCAGAGGCGCGCCATGGCGGGTCCATGCCACCTCGTCCAGGACGACATCCCTAGCTGCCAGTGCCAGCCGGAGTCACACTGAGTACGTGTCCCTGCGCTGCACCGGCAGGCCTCTCCTGCCGGTGCTGGGCGGTCTTTGCCGCGCTTGCTGCTCTCTCTACTGGATGTTGGTCGCAGGCCCGTAGAGCCTAGCGTGTCCCGGGCTGATGGTGCCCTGGTGGACAGCACCGTTCACAGTGGCCGGGGCATCTCTGGCCGCCTCACAGGGGGCGCTACCGCCACTGGGAGCTCCGCCGCGGACGCGGGAGCATGGCCCGGCGCGCCGGGGACCAGCCAGCGGCGCTCCCGGACTCTCTGGATTGCAGGCTCCTTGATAGGCGCGCACTGAAATCCCGGACTCACCTCGGGGCTGAGGACAAACAGACAGGAGTAAGACTGAGTACAGGACCCCAGACAACATGAACTGAGGCGTTCTCCTTTTGGGTTCGCGTCACCCCCAACCCGACCCCAATGGGGAGACTGTAGATGGATGAGTGCCCAGCTCCCACCCCAGCAATAAACTTGCCCCTCCGTGGCACTGACGCCTCTGGGGCCACCAGTGTGCCCAATCGTCTTTCCATGCCTGGGGTCGATGGAGGGAAGATGGGACTAGGGATCCTGAGAACGGATTCCATGGCACAGGCCAGAAGAAGGACCCTTTAAAAGGGGGACGAAGAGACTGCCTGCTGCGATAGCTCCAAGAAGGGGCCCCCAATGATGCTGCAGAATCCGACACGGCCGCTGAGTGCAGGGGGTGCGGGCAGGTGGTGCGGCGTGTCCCACCTGGGGAGCCGCCGCGGTCGCCCCAGGGGGGACGGTGAGGGCCGAAACGAAGGAGGGCACTGTCCGCGATGCTCACCGGGGCTCCGGCGCCTACCGCCTGCTGGCGGCGCCTGGGTCCAGGCTCCTCCTGCTGCTGGGCACTGAGCGCGGAGAGCGCGAGCAAAGGAGCTAGCGAGACTCCTGCTCCAACCCAATTCCGGGAGCCGCCGCCGCCGCCTCTGCTACTGCTGGCGAAGTGACGTGAGGGCTGACGCAGAGCTGGGGCAGAAACTCCAGAAAATTAGTCTGAAATCCAAAAGCACACACGCTCATACACACACAAACCCATAATACCCTCCAGACAAAAGCAACAAGGAGGGGAGGAGAATCTGGGGGCGAGCGAGGAGGAGGGAGGCATCGGTGCCACTGGCCAGAAGCAGACAGCAGCAGCATGTGGGAGTTCACACACGCGCACACACGCGCACACGCACACATCCAGGCTGTGTAGACGCGCGCGCGCATGTGTGTGTGTGTGTGCGCGTGTGTGTGCACGCATTTAGATCCAGGTACCTCTGTGATGGACTGTTCCGCCGCTCGACGCCTCCCAGTCCCTAATTCAGACCGCGGTCTCTTCTACAATCGCAGTAGAGTCTGTCTCCTCTTTTGAAATGGAAACCCAGCTCGGTTCAGCTCTGAAAAATGCGCTGATTCTTATTATAGGAATCCTCCCTCCCTGCTGCGTTCTCCTTTCCCACCCTGCCTAAAAGGGAGGGCGAGTTATCCTAAAAATAAATAAGTATTGTAAACCCCAAAACGTGTTCAGCATCGGTAACCAAGGATAACCGGCCCCATTCTGGGGCATCTATTCGGGGATCCGTGGTTTTGGAGGGTCTTTCTGTTGATGCTTTTGTAGAGGGAGGGCAGTCTCCAAACGCAACTCTAGCTGTCTAAGTGGGTCTTTTTCCTGCGGTTTTCTGGCATCACACGCCCGGGAAATAGAGACATGTGAGGGGAAGGGAGCGCGCCTGACGCTTATTGGGTTCCCTAAATGCGCGGCAGCAACCCTGGCCTGTCCGATATGTGGCGCCGCGTCATTTTCACTCATCGGTCAACCTGGCAGGATGCAGCCATTCCCAGATTGTAGCATCAATTCCCGCGATGCCAACCCCCCACTCGGGACACCCAGAGCCCTTGCTCCCCTGCCGTACCTTGTGCGTTTTCGTTTGAGCGCGGGTGTGTGCGAACGCGCGCCCTGCGCTCGCGCTACCCGGAGCACGACATGCATCCAGCTACCCAGAAGCCCGGCACGACCAGAACCTCGGGGTCTCACTAGGGACAAATGAGACGATCCGGGAGAGTCGGGTGACAAACCGTAACTGCTCTGCGGGCTCAGTTAAATGATGGCTGCGGGGCATTTGCAAGCCTGTTCTGAGAATCCGTCTTCCCATTTGCGGCTCGGGGAGTCTGTTTTTCCGCAGTCATTTAAAAGGAACTGGGAAAATGCACCGCAGTGCCAGACACTTCCGAGGGCTCTGGTGCCCCCGCGCGGGGAGAGAACGCCCGGCATGCTTGAGAGCACAAACCGAGGGCCGCGGCCTAGGCGGGCACTGCTCTGGGGAAGGGGGCGGGGGGCGCTCTGGCGCCAGATGCGCAACCTGCGGCGCCTGACGCGTGCGCGCCCATGCCCAGCTGGCGCGCGGTTTGCCAGGTCTTGCGGAGCTCCCACCCGAGTAGAAGGCGGGCTGCTCTCCGCGCCAGTAAGGGCAGCGGAATGGGATCCCATCCAAGAGATAAGAATGGTCACCCGTCTGCCCGCAGAGGCTGGGGTGGAAGGATTGAGAAATCCGAACGTTCAGGTAAATGCTTTCATCTTGGCGACGTTTTAAATATTACAGAGAAACGAAGAGCATCTAGTGGGGCTGTTATACAGACCCCCGGCGCTGAGTGTAACCGCAGGAATCCTCACGCAGCACCCAGAAAATCTCGCTGCAGGGCGGGAAGAAAAAGTCAGCAGGTCTGTCTCTCTCCACCATTACTCGGTTGTGACACGCAGCTGGGTACTGAAAGGCCAAGCTGAGGTTGATTTCTCTGCTCAGCCGCCAGCTGCTGCTGGGTGAGGACGTGCCAAGGGGGGGAAGCAAAGGGCAAACATGTCTTGCTCCAGGTCACACGGTAACACTCTTCTGCCTGTCTTGCCAGTGTCCTTAATGGGACTGCCCCTACAGAACACCTGGGGGAAGGGTGAGTGCATAATTACCCACATCTCTCTCACACAACCTACCCTCACCCCATTTTTCTTAGAAAAGGCCCATTTGCGTCCTAGTGGCCACAACGTGTCAATGCAACATAAGGTTCTAATTATGTTGGAATCCTTTTAGAATTTATAATATATACTACTATTAAATTTATGTTCTAAATATACCTCCATTGAATATCTTCCACATAAAATTAGAACTCACACTCACAGTCCAACTTCTAATTACCCTTCACCTGCTCTGTTTTCTCCGTAGTCCTTACAGTTTTTTAACAGATCATTTACTTATTATATTTATTGTTTACTGTATTTCTCCTAATGGAACGTAAACTCCATGAAGGCAAGGGTAATTTTGTTCATTACTATATCTCAAGGACATAACAACTATTAAAATGTGTGTGGGTGTGTGTGGGGGGGGTGATGACGGAAATAAAACAAACTAACATTGAGAGTCCTCAAACAGGCCTTCTACACTCTCACTTTCTTGACCTCTAACAGGGCCAGTCCCCCTGAACAATTAATTCTCTCTGGACATTCTCCCTCCCATCTCCACAATCTCCGAATCCTCCCTGTGCTGAGAGTTTGCATAGAACTTCTTAACACCTTACTTTCTGCCTCCTCTGATAGCCAGGTATATTCTAGCACTGGGCCAACAAGAGCCTCTCTCTTACTCATGCTGGTAACTCAAGTTATCGTGCACAGTGCCTGAAACACACTGGGCAATCAATAACTGTTTCTTAACTGATAAAATTATGGATCTATCTCGATTCTAAGAACTACAAGATATTGCACAGAGATTTCAGGACTTCTCAGACCATAGTTGATAAACATTCTTCAGATGGATAAAATTAAATAGAAATAATTTTCCCCAGATCATATGAACTTTTCATGGCAGAGGTGGAGACTGTATGTTGTCTTGCCTGTACTCGATCATGATGTACCTAGAACAGAATTTCTTAAGCTTTTTGACCATGATCCACAGTATGAAATCACAATCCAAGGTACATATACATAAATGTATGTAACTAAAAAAAAATGGTTTCACAAAACAAAACTTACTCTTAATACTTGGAATACACTGATTTTTATTTTATGTTTTATATCATTTTATTTTTAATGCTTGTAGTAAACCAATAAATTGATTTTAACATTTAATACTGGGTTGTAAAAACAAAACTACTGCAGCTCCTGCTTCTGACTAAAGTGGAGTAATAGGGAATAGAGTTAGCCTTCAACCAAATCATCAATCCCAAAAGAACTAAAGGCAACATGGTCAAAGCAAAACTCAAAAGGGATATTAAAAACACTACATATCAGAACTTATATTTGTATGTCAATTATATCTCAATAAAGCTGGAAAAAACAGACATTAAAACAATTTTTAAAAAATAACTTGTGTTGCCCAGCTGGTGTGGCTCAGTGGACTGAGTTGTCCCATGGACTGAGAGGTCCTGGTTCTATTCCCAGTCAGGGCAGGTGCGCAGGTTGCAGGTTCCAACCCCAGTAGGGGGCATGCAGGAGCAGCTGATTGATGTACCTCTCTCACATCGATGTTTCTATCTCTCTCTTCCTCCCCCCCCCTCTCAAAACAAACAAAAAATAAATCAATAAATTAATAATAAAAAAAAGAGAACTTACAGGATGCCACTACATCATCTTAAATTATTTAGGAAGAATTTTATAGCCCAAATACCTATGTTAGAAAAGATAAAAATCTCTAATCAGTGACCTCAGCTTCCACCTTAAGAAACCAAAACATAAAGAGTAAATTAAATACAAGGTGAATAAGAAAGAGGAAATAATAAAGAGTGAAAAACAATGAAATAGAAAACAGAAAAAAAAAAGAGAGAGAAAAATCAATGAAGCCAAAAGCTGAGTTTTTGAGAAGATGAATAAAATTAATAAACCTTTAGCCAGACTGACTAGGAATGAAAGAGGAAAGACACAAATTATCAATAACAAGAATGACAGCAATGACAACACTAGAGAATCTATGGATGTTGAACAAATAATAAGGGAATATTGTGAACAACTGCATGCAAATAAACTTGACAACTTAAATGAAATGGACGCATTTCTTAAGAGATACAAGCTTACGAAGTCCACTCTAGAAGAAATAGATAACCTGAATAGTCCTGTAACTATTTCAGAAATTGAATTCCTAGTTAAAAACCTTCCCATAAAACAAAGAAACAAAAAAACAAAAACAAAAAATCCAGGGCCAAATGGATTCACTGGTGAATTCTACAGAACATTTAAGGAAAAATAGCACCAGAAAATGAATAGGACCAGATTTGTACCAGAAAAATGAAGAGGAAAGAACACGTTCTAACTCTTGTTGTGAGGCCATCATTGCACTGGAGATTCTAGTCAGTGCACTAAGTCAAGAAATAAAAATAAAGGACAATGGTATCAGTGACTGAAATGAAAACACCCCAACAGAAAAGAGGATTCAGGGGGACAGCAGCCGGCTGAACCAGTGACTGCTTTCTTGCCTCTAGATCAGGGTCTTCCTATAGCCAGTCCATCCTCAGCAATGTAGCAGCCTCTCTGAAAGGTGTTTGATGATTCTTGCCAAGATCTGCATCTAACAAGCCCTGAAACTTTTCCAAGTATTTTCATATGTATGCGTCTCTTTCTATTCTTCCATTTTCCTTCTACTTGGGGGATGCTGGCCCTTGGCTTTAGATGACCTGAGAACTGTTCTATCCTAAGTCTGATGACCAGAAAGCTATATAATTGCACTTCCAAATTATAATTGCACTTCTGAAGTCATCCCAGCAAAGAGAAAATAGAAAACAAATTATTTGGTAGGACAAAAATCTTCCTCTTCTTGAGAGTCTGTTCTTTTTCACATATGTGGTTTCTCTTCCTGGTCAGTTAGTTGACTGACTCATGCTTGTAATATAAATACTTCTTTTATGTCCAGAAGCCTTTGAGATTCTGTAAGACTCTTTGCAAACACAGAAACTGCAACTTTGCTTTCCTGCCACTGCTCTTTAAAAGTCTCAATAAACCTTCTCTACCACTGGAAGACATCTCTTGTGCACAGGGCAAGATTTCTTATAGATTAAGAGACAAGGTCTTAAAGATGAGAGAAGACTTTCTTCCTCCCAGCTCCTCTTACTCTCACATGTGAGTTATGTAGAAGAGAAGAATCTGTCCTCAAAAGATAATTGAACTTCTGAGGGTAGATACAGCTAATTATGGGTTTTCTATACTCCAAAATATTGCTAAATGATCGTCCAAGTGTATTATAAGATCCTCAAAACACCCCCCCCCCAAATCAATTCTGTTTAACTTAGACTTGAAAAAAAATTGCCACTCAGTACTTTTTAGATTGGGAGGGGAAATGCTGAAAGCCATCCCAGTGGTCTTGCA